AGTTTTAACATATACAAGAGATAACAGTGAGAAAGTGAGAACAATTATCATGTAAAATAATATATAAAGTCATTTTTTCAATTTCATTAATATATTCCATTGAGAAGTTGATTTAGGAATTAAAAGCTTATCATACTTAAGGAAATGATTAAGAGGTTTACAATCTATGACTAACCTCTTTTTTACTCTAATTCTTTTTTATATGTAGTGATTAGTCGGGATATATCCTCTTTTAAGAAATATTTACTCATTTCAATTCCTAAAGTTAAACCTCCATCTTTAATATCATCAAATATTTATAAATAAATATTATTATTTAAAAATAATTAAATAATATAAATATAAATTAATAAAAAATGATGAGTGCATAATTATAAATTAATAAAATAGGATAAGGACGTAATTAAAGATAAATAAATCATTACAAGAAAAATTGGATTTTCCATCGGACAAAATTCGTCGGTAAATATATATTACGGACTGATTTGAAAAGTCCATCGATAAATAGGACACATTTTTATTTTTATTATTTATTAAATTATTTAATTTATCTAGAGGTCCCCTACCATTTAGATTAAGATAATTGTCACTAACAAGATTGAAAAGTCCATTAGTAGTATGATACATTTTTATTTATTTATATTTTTATTATTTATTAAATTATTTAATTTATCTAAAGGTCCCCTATCATTTAGATTAAGATAATTGTCATCTAGCAAGATTCAATACTTTGTTGTTGGAGGTCGATACTCCAACCACTAAGCTACTAAGTTTTTATAATAATAATTTACAAATAAATTATATTTATATATAAATAAATGTATATCTGTGTAAATATATACATATAAAATATATAAATACAAATATATTTATATATTTTGATATATTTATATATTTTGATATATTTATATAGTTATACATTTATATGTTGGATATGATGGTGCGCTCGACGGTGAAAGTGTGTGTCGTGTTTATTAGAATATATTTAAAATTAAGTAATTATTATATAATTTTAAATATTTAATGTTTTAATTTAATATTTATTTTTAAAAATATATTTTAAATTCGATCGGTAGTTACTTGTTCATTTATTGATGGATTTACAACGAATTTATCGACAGATTTATCGATAATTTATGTCGACAATTACTTATTTTCCAACGGATAAATATTCGTCGATAATCTAATATTTTTTTATACTGAATAAATATAAAACAAAACTACCATTAGAGATAAAATAAATATAATATAATAAAATTAAAATGTAACTAAAATTAAATAAATATAAAATATGATCATAACCGAAAATAAATAAAAGATATCAAAATAAATATAATAAAGTTAAGACATCTTACTTTATAATCATAATTAAAAATAAATAAATAGAATAATAACTTTCACCTCCCTAATCTTATTAATCGGATAAGATATCCCTTAATTTTGGCTAAATTAATTGTTCTCTCTTTTTCTTTTCTTTTTTTCTTTCCTTTCTCTCTTTACTTTTTCTTCCTCTCCCATTTCTCTCTCTCCTTCTCTTTTTCTTTCTTCCTTCCTTTCTTATTTTCCATTCTTCCCATCCTTACACCTCTATTTACATATATAATTATATTTTCCTTTTATTTCTTTAACTTTTATTTTATGCCATAAATAATGTTAAATTTTTTTTATATATAATAATTATCTTTTAAAGAGATAAGTTCTCTTTTATTTTTTATTTTTTTCTTTTAATAATTTTTTTATAATAATAAATAAATAATTAACTAATTTTATTTTAATAATTAATGATTATTTTTATTTTAATAATTTAAATTAGAATTATTATTTTAATAGACATTTTTTTGTATAATAATTTAATAATAATAATTTTTTCTATATAAATGGATCTTTTATTATAAAATTACCCAAAATATTATAATTTAGTATATTGTATTTAGAAAATATTTACATAATAAATTTTAAAGTGTTCATCCTTTATTTCAAGTATTTGACTTTCCAAATTATTACAACTTTAGATATGTTTGGATCTAATTTTATACATAAGTTACATTATAAAATCGTTTTTATATAATCTTAATATCTATATATATTGTTTTAATATACTCATGAATTCCACATCATCATTTAGAAATGGAGAACAATAGTAGTTTATATACATCCTTCAAAGAAAACAATATTTCGAACATAGGTATTGATTCTAACGATGCTAAGATAATAGACATGAGGTTGAAACATTGTCGTTTTTAGACGAAACATTAATGCTTATCATGGGGTCGGAGCTAAGTCTTGCTCCACTCATACCCTTTAGTCCTTGACTCGGAGACTTATATTACTAGTACGCTCATAAGTCGCACATCCAAGTAGCGGATCTTAACCATTGATCTTGGAGGAGCCAAATAATATATTATTATTAAATAATAAATAAATATAAAATAAAATAAGAAGATGAAAAGTGAAATGATAAAATTGTAAATATATACTTAAATATATTAAATGATCATTAAGTTTAAGAGAGACAAAATCATAAATTATATGATAGTTACAAAACTAGGAGGGGCTGGGAGGATAAAATTGTAAATATACAAGTAAATATATTTAATGTTCATTAAGTTTAGGGGTCAAAATCATAAATTACATGGGAGTTACAAAACTTTGGGGGCCACGACCCCCTAAGCTCCCAAGAATATCCGCGACTGTGCACATCGATTGGGGACTTATCTCATATCCCTTAGTTCTTGATTGAGGCTTATGTTCCAGTACACTCATGAGTCGCACATTACTTAGGAGTATCTCATACCCCTTAGTCCTTGATCTGGATACTTATATTCCGGTATGTTTATAAGTCACACATCGCTTAGGAGTTGAAATCAATGATAATTTATATATATCTTTTTTTTTAATTCATCAAGACGCATTTTAAAAATAAAATCGTGACGAGATATTAGTTCTAAAGCGAATAATATCTTCAACATAAAAATTGACCTGATATTATCATAACGAATAAGTATAGACACTCTTGTTTATTCATAGATAATTTTGTACTTGTTGATTGAAATATAAAATTGAAGTCTAGAACTATTAAGAATTATGAGAAGTTGAATTGTGCAATGTACGTGTGTGGATAGAATATAGTCACTATTCTTTTCAAAAAGAAAAAAAAACTCACTATTAGTATTTATCAAATTAATTACATGAATATTTTGAGGTACACTTGGTACACTTGATCCAATGTGTAATCAAACATGGGTAAATCAGATCAAACACTGGGTGTATATATATGTAATTATAATTATAATTTTAAAAAAGAAAATATTTATGAAAAATTGTTTTAAAAACAAAGGATAAAATAGCATATTATCATATATTAATTATATATGTTTTAAAGTTTTATAAAATAGAATAAAATAAAAATAAAAGTATCTTCAATTAGAATCACTTAAAGAAATGATTATAAACCACTTCCCGTGAAGGGTTTGAAATTATTCAATACATGTCAATATTTGATAAACTACAATCGACTTATTACATTTTTATATTTTTGTTAATTAATCCAAAAGTTTTAATCAATCCATACTTCAAATGTGGAGGTTGATTATGTACATGGGTAGAATTGGATCCACGATAATACATATTCAATCAATTTTCTAAGATACTTATAAAACATTAAAATAAAAGAAGATGGAGTGGATATATTTTTAATTAGAAAAAATATATATAGAGATAAGAAGAGTGAGAGAGAAAAAAAAATATAGTTACTTCAAAAAAAGTAAAAAAAAAAAAACACGCGCGCACACACATATATATATATATATATCATCGTTCATTTATATATAATTTAATGATTTATATAACAATTCATTATTAATTATTACTCAAAGAAAATAAATTTCAAAATTAAAATATTCATATATTTATAATTTGTATTTTTACTGGTTAATAGAATAATTCATATTTAACTATCATATTACAAGAAAGAATAAAAGTGAACCTGTTAAAATGAGTGAATATTTTTTATATAAAATAATAATCAATTTTAAATTTTTAAATTGTCTGTAAAAAATTTTAAAAATAACAATATATCCATAACATATTTAATAAAATTAAAATAAGTTATCCATATATTGTTTCTTTCTCATAATTATTATAAAAACTAAACTTTCTTTGAATGTCTTTAAGAAATTTTTAGAACAATTTTTTTAGTAATATATATACATATCAAGCGATCAACTCGAGATTAGAAATGGGATAACACCTGCTTCTAGTATCTATAAAGTGTGTTTAGAAATAGATTAAATAGGCATGTTGTGCTTCAAATCACATACAATCATGGAAAAATCATCAGCAAAGTAAAAAAAAAATTGCATATCATAAATGAAAAATGAACTGTTCCTCTGTCATGATCTCGATCCGAATCCAAATTAAACCATCTTAAATAGGGCAAAATCCTTCGTACCATAAAATTTAATGCAGGACAAAGCAAAACCCTTCGTTTAGACAGACGACACAACAACAGTTCCTATATTCTCCACGCCACCTGACTCACAATCCATCAACATTAAAGACTCTTTTTTTCTCTCACTCACACCTTTATGCTATTGCAAAATTAATATCTTTAAGTAAAAGAGTCTCTTTCTTTATCCCCATCTCTTTCTCAAAGGAAAAATATATTTTTATAAGTCACATCCTTCAACATGTTCCTCACACGGACCCCAAAGTGCCTCTTTCTTTTTCTGCCCCCACTTCTACCCTGTCACTCAAACAAATTAAAAAGCAAAAAATAAACATAATGATGGACGGTAACTAAACCCATGTCCATGTCCATGTCCATGTCCATGCCCATGACCAACGTTATATAATGCCCTCTAACCAGTGTATTTGTCTAGCTATAGAACCAACAAACCAAATACCCAAAAATCTCAAAAATCAGAGTTGGCCCTCGTGATCTTCATCTTCCCTTGCTAGCTTGGAGTCACACACACAAATACCTTCTTCATCCAGCAATCATGAGGAGCTTCACAAAGAACAAGTTCCTTCTATGTTTTCGCCCTGTTGTTGACATAGATTGCATGCTCAAGTCCGAAGTTGCTCCTCATCGTTCTTCTACCACTCGTTTCTCACGCGTCCCCACTTCAGAGAAGCAACAAATGGTGAAGAATTCAGAACCCAAATCTGTATATTTCCACCACGTATCACCTAAACGAACGATTTCTCGGGTGATCAAAGCTGTGTTCTATGAAACCATACTGGTTAGTCTTAAATTCATTCCTTTATAATTTTCTTACAGTTTAACTTCTACGATCATTCACAAATCATGATCATGAATTTTGAGTTAATGTAAAAACTGATAAAGTTATCATTGTGATCGAAAGAGAGTGAAAACCCTTTTCCTGTTTTAACTTAGATGGTTTTGTCTTGCAGAATAGAAGAGATCACCATAAAAACCGTTACATCCATGATTCCTTTGGGTACAAACATAAGTATTTGAAGTATGGGGAAGCCAAAACCCTTCAATCGCCTTTGTCAATTTCATCTTCGGCTTCACCTTGTTCCAGCTCACACGCGTTATCACCATCAAAAAACGTGTCAAATCACTGCTCCACCAAGGAAAAAAGGAAAGGTCTTGGAGACCCACTAGAGAAGCAAAAAAAGTTCGAGTGCTATGGAATATACGTGGTTCTCTTAAGCTTAGCGTTTACGGTATTTTGGGGAAAGCTTTTTGGCATTCTTTTGACTTCAACATTGCTCTACTTTTTCGCCGTTTGGGACTCAAGCTCACGGTGCCAAAAAAGGTTACCTAAAATTCCAAGGCTGAGACAAAGTCCACAAGACAAAGATACCAGAAATTATCTAGATATGCTTCAAGATTATCGTATGGCCATAGTCCCGTTTAATTTTCACGTGACACATGATCGAGACTTATAATTTAAAAGAAAAAATTCATAAAACTTGATCATGTGCCAGATGGTAATTTGTCGTTCATGGGGAAGCATGATCGTAGGGAACTACCATAATGGAGCATTAATTGTCATTTTCGTGCTTGGTGCATGCTTCTCCGTTCTCTGCTGCTATCTCTGTGCTCCCTGAAGCAAAGCTTTCTTAGGCACAACACAAAAGACAGTGACATGAGTGCTTCTTGCAGTGGCTATGTTTGGGAAGGATTGTAGGGTTGGGAGAGACAGAAGAAACAGTTCCACATTTATTTCCCTTTGCCATGTTTGTGTTTGGCTTTCTGACATGACATTACATATCTAACCAATGGAAACTAGGAAAACCAAAAGTAGTTAATGAAATTTGATAGGAAGAGATTGGTTGCTGTATTGAAATTAAGTTTTATTTGTTACAGAATTTACTTCGGAAATAATACCAGTGCATTGATTATTTGTAAACTATCAAAATATAACTATCCATTTTACAATACAAACATTAGTTTTTATTATTTTTATATTTTTCTCTGAATAATAAATTTAATTAAAAAAGAAAATATAATTAATATAATATTAAACTTTATATCAACATATTATATATATATATATATATATATATATATATATATATATTTAAAACAATTAAGGTAATTAAGGAGGAGATAGAAAAAAAATTGTATAATTTTATAAAAACTTCAGGGTTTGTTAATAATTTTTTTTTTCAAAAAGTCTGCTTTAAGTAAAAGTATTTACTGCGACAATACATAGAAATTTAAATTCTCTTAAAATTTGTAATGTAAATATTTAATTGTCAAGAACTGGAAATAAAATATCATTACATTTCTGAAATCAAATATCATTTATATTTATTTATGCAAATTCTTCAGCCACCCCTGCCCTTACGCAGTCCTTCTCTTGTACATGAAGTTATGTGGAGGTCAATAGTTTGATTGGGATGATAAAGTTGTCTTTCTTTTCAATCGTGCAGGGTTTCTTAATTCCTTTGACACTTCAATGATTGAAACAATCCATGTTTTTCCCACAATTACTTAACAAATTGGGTTATTAATTAGGCACCTGAATCAATTTATTTTGGAAAATAAAAATAAAAATTAGTCAACTTGCTGAGATAGTTAATATACCCTACACCTCAATATATATACATAGGAGAACACAAAATATCATATTAATAGTAGGTTACAAAAAACTTGTTATTTATTAGTGGGTAACAATTAATATCATTTTCGTTAATATCAATTATCTAAGAAATTAATTTGTTAATTTAAATAATAGGTCTATCTAAGATAAGATTGAATCATATTAATAATTTATTGATTCTTTTAATTTTTTAATTACATTGCATAAAAGGCTTACATAATATAAACTAACAATATATTTATACTGGAATTATTTTTATCAGATAAAGTTTGTTTTTAGGAAATATTATATAAAGGGAATCCTAACATATAAATGAAATATATATATATATATATATATATATATATATATATATATATATATATATATGAATGAAAATATTTTTTAAGAAGAGTAAAGAAAGCATGGAGTGCCTACTTTGTATCACTAAAAGCAAAACGAGTACAAAGAAATCCTCCATGTGGATGATAAGGGAAGAGGAAAAAAAAGTATTGCAAACTTTTTTGTAATAGGATCTTTATTAGAAGAGTTTATAAAAGTAAAATATTTTATTTTAATGTAGATTTTATAATCTCAATTTTTAAAACAGATTAAAGTTGTCTATATGAAAATTAAATTAAAATAACGTAATGATTGATAACATTCATAGATCCTTATATTCTTAGTATTAGATCAGTTGAAATATATAAAATTTAGAGAAGCAACTTGTGAATATATATTATGTTTTTTTTAAATAAATATTTTAATCTAATACGTGTATTTTTGAGAAATATTTATTTGAAATAAAAACATTAATATAATATAAATAATATGTTAGCCGAATTTGATCTTGTGAGTCAAGAAAAATCATTGAGCATGTGGTTAGTTTAATGAAACGTGCGTAAAATACCGTACCCTATAAGTACATTCATGAATGTTACAAATTTAATCTAATAAAAACAAGTACTTGAAATACAAGTTGGCAACATTTCTTCAACCATGGGTTTGGCAATTTTATTTTACAAACATTCTAGGCAATCATGTTCTGCTTTAGATTGCTTGCCCAAGGTTCGGTGTCTTAAATTATTGTCTGATTAAACATTGCATGTGTTAAAATACATGTGAGAAAGAAGGAGATAGCTTTGGGTTTGGTAAAACATAAGTAGTGTGTTGATCTTTTAGGAAAGAAAGGAAGAAAATTAAAGTGGGTGGCAATTGCAATCACTAGGGTTTGTATGTTGTGAAAAGGAGGATAAAGTAATGGGGAGGCATGCTTGCTTTATACAACATCCATAATAATAACAATAATATGGATCCAAATGTGGGCTTACTAGTACTAGTGGAGTGTACTTTGCCTTTTGCATAACCTCTTCATGACAAGTGTTTGTGGCATTCCATCAAGTATACCTTTCTAATCTAAATTTTCTATTAAATATATAAATAAAAAAATATAATTAATGTATTTATATTAAATGGTAAATCATCTCAATATCATATTAGATGGTAAAACATGTTAATATCACAGTGATACTGTGATATTTTAATACGTGTATTTTAGTGGATCAAAAGTAGCGGACCAAGAGAGAACATATCCTAATTTATATGTCTTTGATGTAGAACTTTCATAAAAAAAAAACAATTTCCCATCCTAAGAAGTGCTGGGACTAAAGCAACTTTTATTGTGAGAAGGAAATTGAAATCTTGAGAATCTGAAAATATATGATTGGTGGGGGAAGAAACTGGTATTCTAAGTAACCAGCAGGTCATGTTTGACAGAGTACCGATAGTATTTGTTTTCATGCCCTTTTTTCATATGCTCTTGGAAAGTGTCAATCATTTTCTAGGAAAATTTATCTTCCAACAAGCTTGAATAAAGAAGAGGACACTCGTCCAGTTCTACTGGTCTCTAAACATAAAAGTCTAAAGCATTCTGCAAAAATCATTTGGAAGTGTTTGTTGTCAGTTAAACGAAAAGAGATTTGAGAATATCCTTACAACGGAAAAATAAAATAAAATCTGCAACTACTATAATACTAAAGGGTTTCAAAGAATCTCGCACTTGAAGTGAAATTGGAAGCAATGCATAGCAGCTCCAAATACCTCATCACAGGGAAGTTCTTCACCGAATTTAATGTATCTAAATTTGGTGAGCTAGGTCAATAAAATGTTGCACAAGCACATCATTAATTGCAATAGATAATAATCAATTAATACAACAATAAATTGTCAATAGAAGCATCTATTAATTTATTGCTTAATTCACCTAACCTAAATGCACAATGTTTCTGCTACAACTCTCCTCTTCTGATCCCCCGAGCCCCACTGGCTCATACAAACAAATAAATACATGAATAGCTGTATCAGAATCAGATGACAGTATTTTGGTAGAACATACAAGCATCTTAGCAGGAATTATTCGGTAGGCAAACCATAACATTAGAATTCAATGCCTCAAAAATCTAAGTATGGCACCACCTGTTGTATCTTGAGTGCCAGAGAGAGGCCATGTCTTCTTAATTTTGTGATGAGGACTGGGAGCTATTGGATGCGGTGTGGCTCTTGGCTTGTGAGGAGGCAGTTGAGACATTACTCTTTACCTGTGAACTCTGTGTGGAGCTGGAGTCAGTGAAGAAAACTATGCTCTCATGGTTGTCAACAAAGGCTTGGAGGGTCCTTGGAATTGGAGGCAAACTCAGTTCCAAGAACCCTTCAAGGATTTGAACCACCTGACCCATGGAAGGCCTGTGAGATTCATCATCTTGGACACACCATGAAGCGATTTTGATGACTCTAATGACCTCTTCAATGTCAGCATTTCCCTCCAACCTAGGGTCCAACAAGCTAAGCACATTCCCTCCTTGGTGGACCATATTTGCAGCAAAGGTAGGGAAGAACCTCACTTGGCCATCTTCCGATGGCTCAGAGTTCCTCCTACCTGAAACAAACTCAAAAAGCATCATTCCATAGCTGTATACATCAGCTTTGGCAGTGATAGCCACACCTGATATCCACTCTGGGGCAAGATAACCTCTTGTCCCTCTCATGGTAGTGAGGACCCTGCTGAAGTCTCTCCCAACCAGCTTTGCAAGGCCAAAGTCCGCCACCTTTGGAACCAAATCAGCATCAAGAAGAATGTTTTCTGGCTTCACATCACAGTGTATGATGCAGTCTCTACACTTCTCATGAAGATAAGTCAACCCCCTTGCTGTTCCAAGAGCAATTTGGTACCTCACTTTCCAATCCAACGCTTTGGAACTATCTTCCTGAAACATTTTGGAATCCAAGGAACCATTTGGCATGTAGTCATAAACCAGAAGTTTCTTAGTACCTTCAGAACAGAACCCGCGAAGCCTTACAAGGTTGACATGTTGAACTGTCCCAATTGTACTCACTTCGGTTCTGAACTGCTTCTCCCCTTGGCTAATGCTTTCAAGCTTCTTCACTGCTATGACACTTGAATCAGGCAATGTTCCTTTGAAAACAGAGCCAAAGCCCCCTCCTCCCAGTTTCTCTGAGAAATTCTTCGTGGCATTCTGCAAATCCCTATACCCAAATGCCACCAATGAGCCCTCCACAGATGTTCCTGTCCCAACATGTCTCTTTCTGCGCCGCAGCATCACAATCACAAAAACAATTAGAAGAACCACCACACCACCAACAGCTCCAGCAACAGCACCAATGAATGTCCCTTTATTGCTTTTAGAATCATGAAACTCAGATGCTGCAAGTTTGAGAAACAAAGTCTGCCCACTACTGTCATCTTGAGTAAGCTGTTGCAGGTTCAAGAGATCACCATACCAAATTAAACAACCACTATTGCCATAAGCATATGCAGTACAAGAACAGTTACTCAAGCATTTTGCTTCACAATCCCCGACATTCCCAGCTCCTATGGATTGTGAATGATTAGGCAATTTCATGTTGAGAATTGGAAGGAACCTGTCCTTGTCCTTGTTAGAGGAATTTGGTGAGCCACATTGCAATTCTGTCTTTCTCACACACCCTCCTGAGTAATCCGTAAGATTCCAATCAGATTGCGACTTTGGTTCATAACCAGTCAAACAATTACAATATGGCATGGCATTCTCAGTGCAGCTCCCAAATCCACCACAGAAGGCATAGACATCGCACTGTTGCTTAGGCTGAGACCAGAACAAATTCCATTGCTGAGCATTATCCAGCCATGTAAGTTGCTTGATCTGCCCCGAGACATCCATAAGAAAGCGAGATATAATAGAGCTGTTATACAAGGAGTAAGTGAAGTAGCTCTCGTTCTCATTGGACTCAAAGGTGAAATTGTAGATGTAGTTTAGCCTCATCTCAGGAACCAAGCTGAAAATCTGTCCATTCCAAACACCACTTGACCAATACAGCTCAGTTTTATTCCAAAGAATCAAATATGCAGTACTTCCTGCAGGGTCTAGTTCAAGAGAGAACAAACCGGTTGCAGGATCTTCAAGATTCTTCCATGAAGTGAGATACTGTGGCTTCTTTGTTATGTTGTCCAATCTTATCTTGCCACCGGGAAGCCACGTATCTGTGGGGTGATCAAAACTCTGCCACATAGCGTCAGTTGCTGATGCATTAGGCCTATTGCTTAATATAAGATTCCCAGAATCTAGAAGCACAGCTACCACAGAACCTGAGCTAGGAGAACTCAAATTCGTTGACCAAACTATACTTTGGGACTGGTCTAAGACCACTAAGTTACCATCCAATATTGTTAATTTAGCAGAATTCTTATCAGAAACTGGGTTGTCTCTATTTGCTACCCAAACATAAGTCCTCTGAGATATCTTTCTGTACCACATGCCTATATAGTATTTAGAGTTGTTACCTGGGGAGAAGAAACCCAATTCAAAGTGGCCCTCTTGAGAGACAAGAGTTTGATCCACAGAGAGAGATTGATTTGCTGAGATGGTGGTCAAAACTGCGAGTGATGTGTAGGAGTGGAAAGATAAGAAGCATGTGATGAAGAGAGAAAGCCATAACAACGATGGTTTCTTGTTCCTCATGTTGCTAATGGTTTGGTTGGTTCCACAGGGAAAATGAGAGAAGTTAACGAAGGTAGATATTATGTGCTTGGTGGGGTTGTGTGTGAAGGGAAGGAACGTGGAATGGGTCCAATTAATGACCCGGTCGCGTCTTCACGAAGAACTCAAAAGCTTCTGTTTTGGTTTGTCTTGTTAGAAGCGAAGTCAACAAATACTTCTGGAACTGAATGTTACAACCTTTTGGCCTGGAAATTTATGTAGGGTTGTAGCGCAGCTTCTGCCGTTAATTTTCACTTAAACTACTATGACGTCAAAACTTATTTATCCACTATTTGACTGGTTTACATTGAAAATATAATTGAAATTGTTTATAAATATATAATTTAGAGGTAGCAAACTACTATTACACGTAATAAATATTTATTTTTAAATTAAAAAAACGAAGTGGTTTGAATTATATGAGAACATTTTTCATTTTGCCTCATTGTTAAACTAAATCAAAATTGAAATTAAAGTTAAAAATTATTTTTTCAAAGAGTAAAAAATAAAATAAAATCCATATTATACAAGATTATGATAAGACACGTGACTTATATAATAAGAATGACAATAACTCTTAAAAATATTGATTCAAAAAATTGAAAACATCTCTATTAAAATTAATTCCTAAAATACTGTTTTAAGAAATAAATATAAAAGTAGAATTTATGTTATTAAAGATTGTGCTAGTCATTCGTTTGGTCAGTCAAATCATTATAAAATTATTATCACAAATATTTAGTCGTACAGTTAACATTCAAGATATGATTAAAATGGTTTTTTTTGTTGAGCTAAACTTTTGATTAACACTGTTATATTTCGTGAAAAATAAAAAATAGCAAAATTGTAATGGAGGTGCATTTTGGTAATTTAGTGAATGTGCAACAAATACCGCCACAAACCCAATGAGTTGAAAGTCAAATGGAAGATTTTTAGTTATTAATTTATTTGGTGTTGTGTGCAATGTGCATCATCATTATCCCACTTCATATCATTCATTCATCATACGACTTTGTTTAAATTTTTCCTTCCTGACAAATCTTATTATATTCTTGTTTTGTCATCTTTCACGGGGTCCAAGTTGACATTTTGGACTTACATGCCATGCCAATCGTAAGCATGACATGCACATCAGTGAGGACATTTTAAACATTTTCAAACCTATTTTTATTTTATTTTTTCTTAGTGTGATATTTTTTACTTGTCTTTCTTTCAAATGGACGTCTAGTTTTCCTCAGACGTAGGAATTGAACGATGATTATGGCATGGTTGGAGTTTGGCCTTGCCATGTTCGTTTTGTTCGCAGGTCTATGCAGTTTCAAATTCAAAGTCATCAACATGAAAATGGATGCCATTCTCTCAGGACCGTCGTCGTTGTCCATTGAATTGGCAATGGGTCTAAGGTTTTGATATTCAGACACAGAATAACATTGATTACTTCGTCAAAGAAATGAAGAAAATTTTTTATTGCACAATCATGCTAAATCTTCTGTCTGCTAATCAAAATCACTAAAAGTTTTTGTAATCAATGATTCAAGTACCTCTTTTCATCTTTTTGTAGTCAGTCTACAATATGCCATATACTTTTTCTTGAAGTGACCCTGGCTAAATTTTGAGGTTGAAAAAAATAAAATAATTCTGACACATTTATGTTTTCTTGTCCAGTGTAGTTACGTTTAATATTTAATATTGTGAACTATTATTTTTTTTACCGGCTACTTGGATTATTGACATTTTATTCATTTTCTCATTTCTTTTTTCTTTTTAAGATGTCGGCCCGGTAAATAACATGGGTGAAGACTTTAGAGGTTAAGACATCGAAAAAGAATTTGAAGTTAGACACAAATACAATTAAATTTAAAGTATAACAAAAAAATCAGTAAATAAATTAATCTTTTAAAAATACTAAACAATAAAATCCGATATTCAAAAATAAAGTTATGTAATATCAAAATGGAGACTTTTACCATATCACAATAATTGGTTTTTAAAATAGCTATTACAAAACATAAACAATCGTACCATACATAATCTATAACTAGACAACAGTGTAAAAAAAAAAATTATACCGTCAATATATATAATTAAATCTTACACTTATCTTTTTGGTTTCGATATATATATATATATATATATATATATATATACAAAGAAAATCTTATTTTGAGAGGCTATATGTACGATTTGTAAATTATATGATTATAGTTTTCTTTTTCTTTTTCTTTAGTTGTAACAAAAAATTAACATAAAAGGAAATTATTTAAATAATTTTAAAATATAAGTGGTTAGAATTTAATAAAAATTAGTATAAAGAATATATTTGTTAGCAAATAAAAAATATTTAATAATTTAAGTAGCTAAAATTTAAAATGTAAAATTAAATTAATCAATTTGAATTTAAAAGGTAGTAAACAAAGGAAAAAGTTATAAAAAAATTATCTACTAAGATTGAAGACTCATTTTAGGATAGGGTACTTCAAATCATGACACCAAAAAATACTTTCAACCGAATATTGAATGTAATACTCGTATCACTTTAAAAAAGCGTAATTACCCTTTATATTTACATTATCTAATCAATGTTTCTTATAGATTTGTACGCTCAGTCTGACAGTTTTGGAAGAAAAAAAAACACTTGTTTGATCAAGTAGAATCATCAATATGCAGCATATGTTATTGAACTTACATTTTACATACTCTGGAATCAGACCATTTGAAGATATCAACAATTTTTTGCGGTTATATGAGAGATGTATATGATAGTTTTTATTGAAAAATGTACAGTATTAAGAAGGTGGCTTCAAGTGGTTTTAAGTGAGCTTTATGTGAGCCATGTTGTGCTTTTCAAAAGCATTAAGAATAAACATTTTGTCTATTTAAAAAACAGAGCTATCAACAAATATGCACATGGTAAATTCAAGTTACAAGAGGAGAAGAAAATCACATCAAATCATTATCTAACCTTTCTATAAACAGAATCATATTATGAGCAAACAAAAATGCTGGGTTGGGAGTTAGGAGGATCACACCTTGCACCATGGACTGATAAAGTAGTGCATAACCTCACCTGCACGCATCATTCTTGATCAGAACTGTTATATTCATGAATTTTCGCACCACGGTGGGTTCTTCTCAATATACTAAACCTGCTCAGACGAACACCTGAAAACCTACCCTTCAAAGCCTTGCCTCTGTCTCTACCTGTCTCAACATTAACATCTCCTAATGAAGTTTTGGATCTGACTGATCCTTCTCTTTCTCTTTTACAATTTTCTTTCCTTTTGTGCCCCTCACGCAACAGTTGTGTCTGTTGGTCAACACGACAAAGTCGACCAAAATAGTACATGGGTTCAATATAGCATGACGAGGAAGCCACAATGCCTTTGAGTCTGATTGGTTGAACAAGCTTTATAAACTCCTCAATCTCTTCATAATTGGAGTGATCAGAGTAGGGAACTGTGTACATGTACTCGTGAATTTTCTCGGGTGATCCTATGTTTCCAATTTGCTCATCAGTCTGGGCCTCACTATTTGCACTCCATTTGCCTCTCTTATAACGAGATGTCAAAAAAGAACCAGAAAGAAACTCATTCTTTTGAAGGGATTTCTTTATCCATGGAAGACCCGATGGCATGATTCCTATAGTTGGGCGCATTGCATTCAGTGCCTCTAAAGTTTCAATACTAAAACTATATTGAGGAACAGCTCTAACTCTAGTAAGGGAAGTGTTGGTTGTAAAAATATCATGGTAACCAAGAAGATGCATAGTCCGCAACCGCTCTGGCCACACCCAAATCTTCAATTGAAAAGAAAGGAAAAAAAAGGTGAAAAAAGCCAAACAATAACAACCAGAAAAGAAAGCAAAATTTCCCGTGAGATTAACATGGTAACGCGGAAAAGACACAAGCAAACATGACATCAACATATACTTCAATTTAATTAAGATATTCATAGTTGGATCCATTAAGGTATAATCAAATATGCCAATATAAACATGCTCACCAAGTGGAGTTAACGATTTTTGCCAAAGTTGACATCCAAAGTTTCTAAAAATAGTGGACAATCGCAATTATAACCACATCAAGATTTTTGAGGATTTGGCATGAAGGTCGCAGTGCAATTGCAGCCTCATAAACTGTTTCTGTGCACAATCTTAGGCAGTAAAGAAACTACGACAGAATTCCAACTATAACTTTAAGTAAATATCAGGTGCTATGAAAAAAACAGGTTGAAAATATCATTTAACAAGATATTAAATAAATATTCAAATGGATGAATTTAAGTTGAAATATTGATTCTAAAAGACTCAAATTAATTTTGAGTTAAAGCAATTGTTTTACTTGCAAAGAAAAATAAAACCAATTTTACTACTAATTTTAAAAAAAATCAAAACATAAATCAGACAACTTCAAAATTAATTTTTCAATTCAACCACTACACATTTGTAGAGACAACAGTGGCTCCTACAACGCTGGTTCCAATTTTATTCCAAGAGAACGGTTAGGAAGAGACCTTGATTTGAAGTGCGCGCGAAATTTCAATCAGCAGATCTTCCTTCCCCAAAGTGTTAATCCCGATAATGACGTCATGATCGGGATGCGATGAAATGATATCCATAACCTGAAATCAGACACCAATTGACTCAAACAAAAAATAAAATAATAAAAATGATAACAAGAATATATAGGGTGCACAGATTTCATGATCATCGAGACGGGCTTTTTGATTGACCTTCTGAGCCGCAACATGGCGAGGCGGGAAATCATAGATAGGATTGGAGTAGGTATTGTCGAGGTAAACGACGTCAACCACAGGAACGTTCTGGAGAGCGTGGCGAAGCACGTGGCGGGCGTTGGCTGCTCTCTCGCACGTGGCTTCCCACCTGAAATCGCCGGTGTACAGGACGCAGCCGAAGTCGCCGCGGAAGAGTAGCATGATGGAACCTGTTGAATAGAGGGACATGAGTGAAATTGAGAGATGGAAAGTGCGTGAAGAGTGGGGGTGTTAGGGTTACCAACCGGAGCAGTGACAGGCGTCGATGGCGGTGACGTGGAGGACGGTGGAGGGGAGAGTGAGGGTGTGAGAAGCGCCGGGATGCAGGATGCGGAGGAGGGAGAGGTCGAAGCTGGGGAACTTGAAGGGGAGGAGTTTGGCGGTGAGAGGGGAGCAGAAGAGGGGCGCGTGGGACCACCCGGAGGTGAGGCCGTGGGTGTGGTCGGAGTGGAGGTGGGTGAGGAAGTAGGCTTGGCTTCCTTCTGCCCAACGGTCCACGGAGATTAACCCCTTCTCCATTTTTGGTTTCACGCGTTTGAGAGAGAGAGAGTGAGAGTATTGGGGTTTTGGATTTTGAATACGCTGCTTCTTCCGCGGGAATTTAGATTTTTTTTGGCGGTACTGTATGAAAATAGAGATATTTTTTAATTTGAACAAATATTTCTTTTATAATTACTATAAATAGCAAGAAAGGTAAATATAATTGGTTGATAAGAAGGGAAGTTTATATATATATATATATATATATATATATTTTTTTTTTAATTTAATAAAAATAATATTATAATAAATTATAATTTTAAAATATAATATATATATATATAATTTTTAAATGATACAATTATATTTATTTTATAATCAAAGATGAGTTATAATTGATTTTAATCTTTTAAATAATAATTTTATTTTAAAATATTTACTGAAATCAACGATAATTTATATATATATATATATATATATATATATATATATATATATATATAATTCATGGTTATATATTAAAAAAATATCACGTACTAAATTAAATAATTTTTAATAATTTAATATAATACTAAAATATTGTAGGTAAAAATAAGATAATATATAAGAATATATATCAAATTGTTTTAATTTTTTTTAGGTAATGATGTGTACTTTTTAATATTAAAAATATTTGTATCGAAAATTTTATTGAGGGAATTTAATGTAAGTGTTTCCGTTGGCTTATGGTTATGTAAAACAAATTACTAATAAAATGATTATCTTGAATAATTCATTTATTATTAGTAATGGTGTATTTGGAGTAATGGGACGACATATGAATGTGATGTTTACTCACAAATTTTGACTTCGTGTGATTTTAGATATCTCTAACTCGTGTATTTGAAGACCTGTCCGTTTTGTTAAGTCTAACTCAATCGTTTTCTTCTAAATGTATACAACCATCTACAGTTAATTGAAGCTAAAAACCTTAATTATTAAAACTCTTTAATGAGATGCCAATAGATATGTTTGATCACAACCAAAATTATTGGCGTAATCTTAGTTTGATTTTTTTGAAAGTTAATTTATGATTTTAAAACAAAATTTAAAATAAACTTGATTAAAAAAATAATTTAAAAATAAAATGAAACTCGTTTAAAAAAAATATTATTCAATTTGTTATTTTTTTAATGAATATAAATTTGAAAAAAATCCATTTTATTGGATTAGATATGAATTAAAATTAATATATATACATATTAATTTAACAATCATCAGAATTAGAATGGTTTTAAAAAAATTATTATTTCACAAGGATATAATATATTAGTATTATATTAAGAAATACAGTTGTTAATTGAAAGTATGTACTAAACCCGGTTGCGACACAAATACAAGCATGAATGAATAACTACCACCAGCTGCTATTGGTCTCCTTCAACCTTCTTATTTGTAAGACACATCACACATCATTATTACTATAGGTTCTACCTCCTCTTGTCGCCAGTTTTATTCTTGGTTTTCTATGTAGAAAAGAGAAAAGATACATACTTTACTGGAATATGTAGTACAACGCGATAAAATAACATGAGTCCATAACAGTTGACAACCATTATGTCCAACAAAATAATCCAATAAAATATTACGAAAAATAAAAATAAAAACTATAAGGGTATAAAAAAAAAATTCATCACAAATGGTTAATATTACACTTGGCCCAGAATTTTAATTTGATGATGATGGCCTGGTGTTAGAGTTATGAAGGTGGTGGTCCAAGCACCTATCTTAAGATAGAGTTGTTTAATTCTAATATCAGTAAACCCACATAATAAAATAATTGAAGTGACAAAGAGGAAATTTATTGCAATTGTACCAAACTTGCTCTCTAGACAAACTGAAAATGATGTTCTGAACGTACCGAGACACAACACATGATGGAGTAGAAATAATGTGGCAGAAAGCAACTTATTGGGCATTACAACCCATAAATCAATATATCAATATCTAGAGCACCAAATTTAATCAAAACATAAGGGACAGACGGTGGTAACAGAAAACATGACAAGAATACGACACACCAAAGTAAATAGATGCATACTGAAACAATGGCAGTGAACGAATCAATCTTGTATGGAACAGCCTCTCACAGAGCTCCAAAGTTTCCCTCGCTGCGACTCTTGCGAATGGCACGCTCTGATGTCAAGGTCAATACTTTGGTGGGAGCCTCAAACTGATAGCGACTGTGGGTTGGTAGTTTGGTTCTAGATGGCGGCAGGAGAGCTTGTCTGCCTTTGGATACTTTTGGTGAATCCAAAGTTCTGCGAACGTGAGTGGAAGCGGCCGATGACCTTCGTGAGGCAACAACACCTTGGCTGCCCTTCCTTGTGGTCTTGCGATCCGACCTAAGGTTGCGATCAAACTGATGGGAATTCATTCCTAAACGAACCGACCGTTCTGCTCCTTCCTTCAAAGTGCTGACTTTTATAGGCTGCCGATTGTAGTAGACAAGATGGGGCAGAAGGCCTTGCAGATATTTCTTCATATGTTCATCTCCAACATTTTTCTGGGCAGGGTTCCCATCCAAGTTGATAGCTTGCAAGGAGTTATAGTTGGCTGCAAGTTGCCCTAGACATTTGGCTGTTGAAATTTTGTTAAAACGGAGATCCAGGATGCTAAGTTTCAAGAGACGGTGCAGACCCTCTACGTCGCTGATCTTGTTTCCAGCCAGGTACAGCTCTTTCAGAGATGAGCAGGATGCAAGGCCTTTGCAGATGAAGAAGAGATAAACCAAAACATTTGTATGTCAATAGATAATAGCATCAAAATGTTATTTCCATAAAAAAATATTATAAACCAGAAACTTTAGCTGTAATCCAGAATTTGTTTTACCATGTCCAATTCTTACTATACGGTTGTAACTGAGGTCTAGGACACGAAGCCGTGTAAGTTCGCGTAATCCTTCAATAGTAGAGATCTTGTTTCTGGATAAATTCAGCGCGTGAAGTCCACGAGGAAGAGCACCAGCGGTTATCCTCACTGAAAAGGAGAATTCAGAATGAGATAACTGAGTTAGTCCAGGGAAGAGCATCATAGATAAAAAATAATGAATAAATAAATTGTAATACTAACCGATAGTATTTCCAGACAAATTGAGCACTTTCAAACTCACAAATGCACTCAAAAAGGGGATCACAACCAACCCATGATTACCCAGCTGAGCGGCAGTGGCATTCGCCCCCAGAGAAGATATATATCTTTTAGCTGCTTCCATTCCTGGAGTGATCTTATGATCCACAATGGCAGCATTCACACCATTTACTGTGTTAACATCACCTAAAGGTTTAGTAACTTCAGGCAACTCTTCATTTGTTTCCTCTAGAGGTGGTCCACAATGCTGCAGACCAATCACCCAATCCTCAATGCGTTTAATCTTAAAATCTTTGTTGGGAAATTCAACTGAGGAATCTCCTTCAAGGGTTTTGACATCACTTGTATCATATGCAATTGGCACTACCCAGTCTTTTGCTGAACCAGAAAGCAAATAAGAATCGAAACCATCATCAAAGAAGTTGTCCATTTGGCCATCTTCAGTTTTTCCCATGTCATGCTCTCTTTCTTGATCACCCCTTATTTGATCATCAAACTCATTGATGAATTCCCCTTTCTGCCTCATGCGTAAAGAGTGAAGATCGTCAGAAGATCTTGACAATGCACGTTTGAAAGCTTCTTTTTCAGCGGGAAGTATAGAAGCTCTGACATTGGGTGAAGAACGTGACTTCCTTAGAGATACGGTACCAGGAACGGAAATCTGGTCAGGAATGTCACCAGCACATTCACCAGATAAAGGAGTGTCAGAAATTTCATGGGCATCTTGATCTGAAGGTGTTGGGTCTCCAATTGAAAAAAGTGAGCTATCATTTGCAAGACCTGAACTGGGTGGAAAAACAACGTTTGGATTACTTCCATACTGATCAACAGGGTTTCCATTATGATACTTTCTGGAAGTTGACATCGTTGACTCCATGTGGCTTCTGGCACCATCGCACGACAGCCCCAGATCTTCATCACCATCCCCGTCAAGCCCACTTTGAAGAGACTGACTCTTCTTAAGACTTAGCCTAGTTTGGTTAACTTGGATTTCATTTTCAAAGGAAAACTTGCTATTCAGATCCTCTGACCTACAACTGCGCTCACCTGAATCCCAATTGCTAAGATGATTCCCAGTGACATCTATTTGCTGGTCTGCTTGTTCTTTCGAAAGAGGTGAATATGTGCTTGGAGGATTAGATGAATCTTTACCGCCTTTATTTTGGGCAACATCTTGCAAAGCCTTCAACATTGCTTCAGTAGAAGGTTGAACTGTTTTCTGATTAAAGAGGAAAGCACAAAGTCAACATTGATATATATCATATCACCAAACATAATACTAAGAATCAATACATCCTTGACTTACCTTTGCCTTATTGCCGTGAACATTAGCATGGAAACAAGAAAATCTAAACATTGCTGCATATGACTTTGACAGCTACATCTAAATACAAAACTTTCTTTAAGGCAGAAAAAATAAAATATCAATTACAATCTATACTGTGCATCAATGTTCCAGAAGCCTAATCAAGGACTAAATTTGCTCATAGATTCAGCGGCAAACTAGAAAGAGCTTCTGGCAACACAGCAAAAAGCCACCCTTAGCCATAATCAAGGGACAAGCCCACTGAAACACGGCACAATCTCCATATATCCGAGGACTTTGATCTTCGCAAAACACAAAGCCAAATCACTCCCTCTTCGTCACCCCACACCCTCCTAGAGGTGCGAGAATAGTTTGACTTTGTTATAGCGGCCAGAGTGAAAGAAATTCCTTTCCAACCAGCAGAATCCAGAGACTGATATGCATAAGAGTTGCAGTCCTGGTAAATACAAGGGAATCGAAGATAGAGATCAATCTGGTATCTGATTATAGTAAAAGAAGAAGATCATGATAAACAATCCAAAAAACAAATAAAAAAAAAACATGTACGCTCAATATCCAAAATTACAACTCGAAGATGAAACCTAGAAAAACAATTAAATATAATCTGCAATATAGTTTATCATTTTTATTCTTTACCTAGCTTACAAGAACAAATAGAATAGACCCCAACCACGGAGCTTGTGGATCAACAGATGTAGCTTAAATAATGATCTCGAGTTCGAGTTCTGTGTAAGCAATTAAAGGCATGAAGAGAAAGTTTAGCTGTTCAATAATCCTACCAGTTCGACATGATTCGCACTCTACAAAAAAATAAATAAATGCAATAGACCCCATCTGCACATAGATGCTTCAAAAGGGTTTCTTCCTTCTTTCCTAAACTCTAAATTATCTTAAATTCTTAAGACTGTCTTCACCATCTTGGACTATACAGAAATGCCAAACAAATCAAATCTGAGAAATCAAATATGTGGAAAATGAAACCCCAAAATAAAAACATCCAAACAGGAATTAACTAAGAACTTGCACCATGCCCATTAATTTGATCAGAAAAGCACACCAATGGGGTCAAACAAAATCGTATCTTTGAATCTAATATACTAAAGAAAACGAATTTTATTCATAAATCATGGGATTTTGCTATAACAGGGTTCCATGAGGAAGCAAAAAAGAAAGCATATGACATATACAGGATGGAGAGAGAGAGGGAGAAAGAGAAGAGCGAGGAAACCTCTTTGAAAGAATGAAAGAAGGGGGGCACTGTTGTATAGGGAAAGAGATTATTCTTCCTCCATTTCCAACCTGCTAGACTACGCCACCAAAGCACCAAAGGAGCACCTCTCGTTCACTTTTCTATATATATAATCATGATAAATTAATATTAATTATATATAACATAATAATATAATAGTGACAATAGCTTCCGAATAAACGGCGTTGAGTAGGAACCAACAACTACGTCTATCCCCTAACCCTAGACTGCTAACAAATCAGATCCAAATTAGGGCAAATAATTTTTTTCCTGGTATGCCTCATTTAATGTTTAATCATTAGATGTTATTAATTTTTCCTTACCATTAATCACGAAGCATATTTGTAATATATATTTTAATATAATTATTGTAAAAATAAATTAATTTACAATAAAGAACAATTTGAAATCAAATGAAAGGACTTTTATATTTTAACTGGGTTCCTAATATGTCATTTATTTAGATTTTGATGCTAGTAAAAAAAATATTTTTTTGTTATTGTTATATTTTTTCAAAAATAATTTATCTAACACTAAAAAAATCTTCAAAATTTAGAATAATTTATTAATATATTTTAAAAAAATTAGCTAAGTTCAATGAATCCCTAAAGTGAACTAAATCAAAGCTTCTAACTTATTTTCAATTGGTGGTTCATATAAATCGGTGTCGTTTTTGCCTGGTGACAGATCGATTTCACAAGGATAGCGTAAGGCCTTTGCCTCGAGTTCCAATATCTTACATAATAAAAAAAATATATTAAACTTTATTTACAAAATGATAAGTTAGAAATTAAACTAATTTCAATCTTATATTATTGATAAATTTATTATTCTTTATAAAAGAGATATAAAAATAACTTCAATTGAACAATTAGTCATATATCAACAACATAACTATAATATTATTCTTAATTTCATCAGACAACAAGTATATAAAAAAAATATAGCGAAGATAATTTGTAGAAGATAATGTTGGGCATGATAACGTGTTAAATGTAATTCTTAAAAATATTCATAATTCAAAACAACTAATATGCATGAAAAAGAAAATTATTGAGAGACATTGTTTTCATTACATCACAATATATAATATCTAAAAATAACAGAAATGTAATTTTACAAATCAAAAAATAAAGTTAAAACAAATAATAATATGTATATTTTAGAAATGTAATTTTACAAATCAAAAAATAAAGTTAAAACAAATAATAATATGTATATTTTTTAAAACTTACTATATCGACTTTAATATAATTAATATAAATATTAATTACAAAGATTCTTAATCACAAATGAAATAATCAACATTTTTAAAAAATAGTTTAAAAAAACTTTATATATGATGATATATATTTTGATAGATTAATACTTTTGTAAATGATAATAATAATAATAATAACTCTATTTTTTTTTTCGTTTGGCCCTGAATTTTCATTATTTTTCCATTTTTTGTCCTCTGATACATTACTCGGATGAAAATAAAGAAAATAATGTAAAATATGGGGATTCGAAGGAAAAAATAGAAAGCGTATATTAATATTTAATATATTTATAGTAAAGTTGAAGTATGAGATATAAATTCACATTGTGTAAAAATAAAATAATTTAATAATAGTAAAAAAGAAACATTTATAAATATGTAATTTTTATATTTTGAGTTGAAAATGTTATATTTAAGTCATGTTTATCAAAAAAATTTAATTCGCTTTTATTATTTTAAAAATTGTTGAATATTTCATTACGTAAAAATTATGTTTTTGGAGACTGGTTATCATCATCAACTTTTGAGAAATATTTTGGGTTATAAATTGTACGAGGTTTACTTGTACCAGACTTTTTTTTTTCTACCAACGTTAAGTGAAGAATTAGATAGTAAATTAATCCTAACATTTGATTTATAATTTAACTTGATCTTAACCAATATAGATATCATTTTCAAGCCCAAAAATTTTGGGTGGGCTTTGTATTCTCTACACGAGAGGTATTAAATTTTTGGGTGGGCTTTGTATTCTCTACATGAGAGGTATTAATGAATAACATGCTTAAGTTTATATTAATAATTTGTTGAAAAAAACTATTATCATTTTGATTTGGCTTGAGTGTGTGTTTAAATTTTAGTTAAAAGAATTCAAAAGCACTAAAAAAACAGTAAATTATTTTATCTTCATTTTGTATATTAAATTTTGAACCTTAGTGGAGCTAACATTAAACCGAACCTAATCCGATTAGGCTCAAAGAAACTTAGTGGAGGTTTTTAATATTTTATTAAAAATAAAATTTTATATTAATAATATTATAATATAAATATGTGAATTAATCTATAATATTTTAAGTTATTCTTCATCATTAAACACCTTAGGACGTAACATAACTTAAACTCACATACTAAGATGAAGAATAAGCAATGCTTTAAAAAGTAACTATTGAAGGATGATATAAGGTAGGTAGAATACATATATAATAATTTAACATTAGTAATCAAGAAAAAATGTAGAATTATATTTTATTGGAAAATAGTTTAAAATTTAAATTATATTTATTATTATTAGTATTTTAAATGGCTAATTTTTTTTAACTGTTAGTTGAGATATTTATTGGCTCCTATTAATGGGAGAATTGACTAAATGTACTTTGACCTAATTTTTTCCTCCTTTTAATTATGTCTTATGTTTATAAATAGTCTTACGAGTGAAGGAAAACATACAACAATATATTATTTCTATTTAAAATTATATTTCTGTTGTAGATATTTTGGAGCTCTATTCATTGATGCGGGAATCTTTTGCTATAGACAAAGGATTTAGCGGATTGACATATATTTGGGAGAGGAATCCGCTAAAAAAATATTACCAGCATTTCTTTCTAAGGATAACACTATATTTTTTTCAACCCAAATTATTATCCAGCTACGTAATCTTTTTCATTTTTACCATTTTTTCATAAATTTTCCAGTTTCAATTATTTTTCATTTTTTTAAAGTTTTTTTTTACAATTTTTTTAATCTTATATCTTAATATTATCATTCCTATCATCATTAATTAATTAATTAATAATAATAATAATAATAATAATAATAATAATAATAATAATAATAAAAGCACAATTATACTCTCAATTTTATTAAGTCAATTTATCACAATTCATTAAACAAGAGTAGCTCGGATTGGGATAAAATGATTTGGGTGGAGAAATAAAATAGGAAAATAGTAATATAATTTTTCAATATTTATTATTAGAAGTCATTCTATTGAATAAATTATATTTTTTTCCAAGAAATTAAACACGTACGTTTCTATACAAGTTCTTTCGATATTCTTTATATATAAGAACTAATTTAGCTTTTTTTTGCATAATTTTTTTTTAATCTTAAGTATTATTCATTAATGTTAGTCACACGCATAATTTATCATTATTTTTAAAGGGCGAGAAAAAGAAAAACTCATTAACGTTGTTTACTGAACAGTTTTAGAAAAAAAATACTATTATAAAAAGTTAATATTTTCAACTAAATATTTGTAAGGTGATATTAGATTGGTTATAGTATAAAGTAATAAAAAACAAAAATCAAGTGTGAAAAATTGTATAAGCCCGCAACGCCCCTCGTTACTCAGTCAACCTCCCTAAATTTCAGAGAATTTTTTCAGAATTTAATGAGATTATATAAATTTTGTTAATTTTTTAGTGTTTCTATTTTTTCTTTATAGAAGTACACAGTATAACAATTTTTGAAAATAACTAAAAAGAATGTGAGTATGATATTTGTAATGAGTTACAAGGATGATTATAAAACGGTAGAGGTCAAAGAAAAATTATTGGATAGAAAAGAGTAGAATAATGCGATTTCCAATCAAACAATTTAATTAATTAATTATATATGTTTTGATTTAAGCATGTAATGCATTAAAGTTGTTCTATTTATAGATTGTATGATTGAAATACAAATTACAAATTGGCCTTTCTTCACTTTACACTTATTTCTAATTTGAGCCCTACCTATTCTTACACGCAAACATAAATGTATAGGCAGTGATGATGTAGTTGTTGGATGCAATGCACCTTTCGTTATTCTTCATTTTGTTCACACACTTTCGCTTGGTTGTGGTTGTGTTGTGAGGACCTACAACATGACACGCACATCCCCTCCATCAAACCTAGCACAGCAACTCATCTCAGACCCTTTTAAGGAAAGAGAAAAAATCTTCACTACTACACAGCCACATGTTCACCAACGTCTCTAACCACCGCTAAATGCTAACCACTCCCATTTTCTATAATGTTTCATCAACTTTTTCAAGATTATGTACTTAATTATGCTCCACCACTCCGATACCATTATTATCTCCTTAATTAATTACCATTATCAGAGTAAAAAATCGAGATTTTATTTACATATATAAAAGGTTACATCAACATGATATGGCAATGTTTATCTTTGAAACTAGTAAAGGAAAACTCCTCGTTAACACACAACCAATAATCAAACTATAGTAAAAAACCAGTAATGTGATGTAAGCGGTTAGATTGGAAGTTAATGATGAAAGAGCTAAAATATCTTGGTCCATCGTATGGCTCACAAACTCTTACTCTCCCCAACACGAAACGTCGTCGTAGCGAGTGGTCGAAATTACCTTCAACCATGATTCTCCGTCACACGCCACCTCCGGTCAGATGCGCCACCCTTCTGAGCCCCTGCTTTCACGCGATAAATTCAAATAAATAAATAAATAAATTATTATTCCTCTTTGAAAACAAAAATATATTCAAACAAACCTGCGGATCACGACCGGAAACATCATCATCGTCGTCCTCGCGTTGTCGTTTCAAAGACGATTTTTTCGTTTCCGGTTCACATACGGAAACGGAAGCAACTTCGTCGTCGTTGTTTCTGCACTCGCTGAACGACGAACACTCGCTGCCGGAGGAGCTCGCCGGCGGCGGCGGCGGCGTGGAGGACCACGGCACGACCTGGTTGTCGCCGTCCACTTCGCCGGTAACATCGCCGTCCTCGGTGTCTGGGTCGTCGTCATTGCGGGATTCGGTCTCGTCCGGTCCTTCCGCGGCGGAGGCGGCGCAGCGGTGGCAGACGGAGGCGGCGTTGGCGAGTCTGGCCCCGGCGGCCTTCCACGGCGTGGGAGAGTGGCACGTACGGCAGAGGAGGGTTCGCGAGTGTCTTGCGACCAAGAAGTTGGCGCCGTGAACCTTTGCGTCGCAGTCCCAGCATAAGCTTGCCTGGTCCGACTCGCAGAAAATCCTGCCCGGAAGCTTGCACAGTTCGCACTTCTTCATCTCCAACACACAGGAAGACGATCCCTTCGAAAATTTGTGATATGTTATTTTCTTTCTCTGTTTCTTTTCTGCTATTTTCTTTTTCTTTTTTTCTCACTGGTGGGAAGATAGAAGGAAAAGGAAAAGAAAGAGAAGAAAGAGCGTTCAATTGTCGGCGAAATTTATAAGCAAATTCTAACTTCCCCGTCCTCCCAGCCACAAACTGCCCCTCTTCTGCTTCTGTACTCTGCCGTTTCATATCTTTATTTTTAAACCAAATTTGAGTGTCGTATTGCAAACAGTGTAAAATTATTTTATTATGATTTTTTTTTTCCTTTTGTAATATTATTGGAATTGATTTACTATTATATATTTCTATCCTTATGATATTTATTTACCAATGTTTCAAATATCAATTTTTTTTAATAAAGTTGGTATTTTCTCTTTAGCATTGTTTTACAACAATAATGGTATTTGAAACGAGGATGTGAATATATAAAATCTTATGATGGTGAGAGAAATTCTGTCTATATATATTACAACAAAGTATCTCTCTATTTTGAAAAAAAGAATAACACTCATTTGACATATTTCTAAGACATTTTTATTCTTTTTTACAATTTTTTATGATTGAATAATGGATTAATTATTATGTTGTTTTATAATATTGAAGCTAGATATAATGTTGTTGTTTCATGTTTTTGGTTTCTTTTAGTAAGTGTTAAAAAGTTTGGTGGATATGTTTTTGTGAGGTGAGGCATGTCGAAAAAGTGTTCGAACACTCCCATCACGTATACTTCAATTCATATATTTCATGAACAGCGGTTTCAGTTTATGAGTCTCACGTTTAGATTCGATCCTAAAAATATTTTTTATATATTTTCCTCACTTTATAAAGATAAAATTGTGATAACTTAAAATCTTAAAATCCACAGTAACGATATAATAATATATTTAGTAAACACGTTATGTCTAAAAATTAACCTTTTAAATCACATTTGAAACGTTATGTATGTGAGATGAATCACATTATGAGTCAAATTTTGTGTACTTTTAGTTTATAGAGTAATTGTTGAGCATGATGAATTTTTTTACTAATTGTCAAGCTTTAATAAGTTCTTAAAACACTGTGAAGCACAAATAATAGATGTTAACCTTTTTTACTCTTTAAACATTATCCTTCGCTATGTTTTAAGATAACAAGGTGTAATCACTTATCAGTTATAGCATGATTTCCCTCTTTGTTTTTTCACAGAAATAACTTCCAACAGTTTTCAAAAATAAATATCAATAGTTTTAGATAATTATTGATTTTCTAATGGTGTTTTAAATTTTTTAAAAGTACATTTTTCCTTTGATTTTTTTTTATTATGTTAGCATATACTGTTTTCTCTTATTAAAATCCTTTATGTTTTAGATTTTATTGTTACTTTATCTTTTCTGTTGTGATACGTAGATTGGGTTGTTAGCATTTTATATATTGTATTTTTGATTTTATTATTTTAGGTGTTTTTTTTTTATATAAAAGACACTGTACATAATGATAGACAGTAAATATACAAATATCTTTATTCCTCGATCTTTCTCGTTCTCTATCAATAAAATTAGATTTATCAACATGGTATACAGAGCGTAGATTACCTTTTTTATGGGTACTGGTCATGTTCCTATGGCGAGTACCACGCCTGTCCTTTTCTCCTATTTTGTCTCGGAGAAACTTAGTGATACTAATTTCTTCCTCTGGCAACAACAAGTTGAACCAGTCATTAAAGCTCATCGTCTTCAACACTACCTGGTTAACCCTCAGATTCCTCCTCAATTTCTTTCCATCTCGGATAATGATTTAGGGATTGAGAATCCATACACCACTTGGGAAACACATGATCAACTCCTTCTTTCATGGTTTCAATCTTCTTTATCGGCCTCCTTCTTGGCTTGAATCATTGGCTGTCAACATTCGTTTCAGGTTTGGGAGAAAATCCATGCTCACTTCACCTCTTAGACGAAAGCTCGGGCTCGTCAGCTTCGTACGGAACTTCGCACCATGAAGAAAGGTGAACGAACCATTAATGACTTTCTTCTCTCTCTCAAGACGCTGGTCCACTCCCTTCGCTCCATTGGTGATCCTGTCTCCGATATCGAACAACTTGACCTTATTCTTGAAGGTCTTCTGGTTAAATATGAGTCATTCCTTGCTCTCATCAACAACAAACCAGACTTGTTTTCTCTCGATGAAGTAAAATCTTTACTTGTTGCTCAGGAAGCTCGACTTGAAAAGTTTCATCTTGATGGTGATACGGTTTCGCTTAATATCACAAAAGCCCCTTCTCCAACCGCTTCTTCTCCCAGTGTTAACTTTGCTCAAGGTGCTTCCGCTTCTTCATCTACTTTTTCTCCTATTACCTTTCGTGGTAATGGCTATTTTCAACGAGGTCGTGGTCAGCGTCGTCGAGGAGGTCGTGGAGGTCGTGCATCTGTTCAATGTCAAGTTTGTAACAGATATGGCCACACTGCTGCTCACTGCTATCATCGTTTTAATCCGACTTTTGCTGCTTCGCCCCCTAATCACACCATGGGTTATTCTCCATATCAGCCTGGGGTTCTCTCTCATTTTCCTTGTCCCTCACATCTAGGGTTTTCCCCTTACCTCGGCCCATGATGCCTCCCTCTCAGGCTCATTATCTGGCTTCTCAACCTCATGCTTATGTTGCTCAGTCTGGTTCAATGCCTATGCTCGCTCAACAATCCCAGAATTGGTATATTGACTCTGGAGCATTTCATCACATAACCCCTGATTCCACCAACCTTCAGAATCCCATCCCTCCTTCCACAAATGCTTATGTCTTCCTTGGAAACGGACAAGGTTTGCCTATTCAGTATTCTGGTTCTGCAACTCTCTCTTCTTTTAATCCTTGTGTTCCTTTGCATCTCACAAAATTATTACATGTTCCCTCTGTTAATAAAAATCTTGTAAGTGTCAGTCGGTTTGCTAGGGATAACCATGTTTATTTTGAATTTCATTCCACTATTTGTTTTGTTAAGTCTCAGGTTGATCACTCAATATTGCTGATTGGATATCTTGGTTCGGATGGTCTCTACTAATTTCCTTTCCTTCCGCTGCATTCCCAATCTGCATCTATAAATGTGTCAACTGTCTTTGATATTCCCCCTTCCCCTTCTGTTTCCACTGTACCCACACACACTTTCACTGCGTTTTCTCTTTGGCATAATAGGCTAGGCCACCCTTCTGTTTCCGTTCTACATAATGTTCTTCACCGATGTAATGTTTCCCTACCAAATAAAACTACTGCATATTTTTGTGTAGCATGTTGTATGGGCACATCTCACCAATTAGCTTCTCATACTTCCTTAACTTCTTACACTACACCTTTATAGCTTGTCTTTTGTGATCTTTGGGGTCCTTCTCATGTCAAATCTTCAATGGGATATCATTATTATGTTTCTTTATTGATGCTTATAGTAAATATACTTAGATTTACTTTCTTAAACAAAAATCTGACACTTTGAATGCCTTTAAACAATTCAATACATTTTCTGAACTTCAATTCAATCATAAAGTTAAGGAAATCCAAACTTATTGGGGTGGTGAATTTAGACCTTTCACTCAATATCTTACCTCTTTGGGTATTCATCACCGTTTGATATGTCCTCATACTTATCATCAAAATGGTGTTGTTGAACGCAAACATAGGCATATCATTGAAATGGGTCTTACCCTTATCTCTCAATCATCTTTACCTATGACATTTTGGGATCATGCTTTTCATACTGCAGTGTATCTCATTAATCGTCTCCCTGCATCAAATGCTCCTCATCCTATTCCCTATTGTACTCTTTTTAATAAAGAAATCAATTATCATTTTCTTAAAGTGTTTGGTTGTGCATGTTATCCTCATACTCGCCCCTATAATCATTATAAATTGCAGTATAGGTCCACGACCTGCACTTTCTTAGGGTACTATTCATGACACAAAGGGTATAAGTGTCTTGACTTCAATGGTAAAATCTTTATTTCTGAGGATGTTATCTTTGATGAAAACACTTTTCCCTTTGCCACTCAAATTCACACTCCTTTGTTACCCTCTTCCTCTTCTCGTCTCCTATCCCTTGGCATCCTTCCTAGTCCTATTCCTAGTCCTATTCATAGTCCCACTCAGCATGTTATTCTGAACTCTCCAGTTGTTGTGTCATCTCCTATGTCTCAGCCCTCTGTTTCTTCTCCTCCTCCTGAGTCTCATCCTCCTCCTGTTCCTGTCCCTAATCCATCCTTAGAATTTGTTCCTAGTTCTTCCTCTCTTCCATCAACTCGTCCTATGCAAACGCGTTTCAAATAAGGTATTGTTAAGCCTCGTCGCTTTCCTACTTTGCTTTTTACTGTTGCAGAACCATCTATTGTTAAGCAAGCTCTCTCCTCTCCTCTTTGGCAACAAGCCATGCAATCTGAGTATGATGCTTTACTAGCTAATCATACGTGGCAGCTCACTCATCTTCCTCCTGGTCGGACAATTATTGGTTGCAAGTGGGTTTTTCGCATTAAAGAGAATCCAGATGGTACTGTCAATAAATATAAAACCCGTTTAGTAGCCAAGGGGTTTCATCAATAGTTTGGATGTGACTATTTTGAAACATTTTACTGTCCGTATTATTCTTACCTTGACTCTCACCAAACATTAGTCTATTCAGCAGGTTGATGTTAATAACGCTTTTCTCAATGGCATTCTTCATGAAGATGTTTACATGACTCAACCCCCTGGGTTCGAGTCCACAAATTCTTCTCTTGTGTGCAAGCTTCAGCGTTCCATTTATGGTCTTAAACAGACTCCAAGGGCCTGATATGATATGCTCACCTCTACTTTGCTTAGCTTTGGTTTTGTGCAGAGTAAGTGTGATCCTTCCCTATTAGTTCTTACCACTGTTGTTAATACTCTCTTTGTTCTCATTTATGTTGATGATATAATACTCACGGGTTCATCCTCCACTCTTCTCCAATCAATCATATC